TATATATATCTAAGAAAAAAATAAGACTTAATAAAACATCTTACTTGAATGAATGAATGAAGTTTAGTTTTTACATCCATAAACGTGTGATTACATGTTTTCACCAGTACGAGAAAAGCCTTCCCAACGTGCACTCAGACAGATATAGCCAGAATGGGCATGCTTGGTTTTAATCCCATAATAACCAGCACCAGCTCCCTCTTATAGCATCTTACACTGTCCATAAATCAATACAGTAATAGTGCTGACTGCAGCAATCTCAGCCATTGAAGCAATGTGGGACTAAAACGGGAGAAATGACCCTGACTGTGTGCACTGCTGCTGCAGTCTACTGTCTAAAATAAGCTCTCTCCTTGGAGCATGGCTCAGACTGCTAATGAGCACTTATGTGGGAATGCCAGTGTCATGGATAGTGTGGCAGATAATCTTTACAGCCAGCCAGCTTCACTGATTTCTTTCTCCTCGTCTCTTTCTTCTTTTTTCCACTTTCTTCTATCTCAGCCTCTGATTATGCTTTGTTCTGTCAAAAGGCATTCTTGTCTGGCCTCCCGCCCGAGCTGCCTTTAAGATATTTCAGCATTTTCTCCACATCCCACACCCACATTTTTCCTTCTCTTCTAAGTTCTTCTGGTATTTTTTTTTATCTCAAAATGAAGCAGCTCATCTCTCACATAATAGACAGAAGGAACACTGCTTCATTGAAAATAAAACCGCCTTTTTGATCTGGCGTTAGATAATATCTGGGACTCTGCAGTGAACCAGTGAGCTGTGTGTGGGAGCTCCGGCTGACAAAAGCACAAACTCCCCAGTGCTGGCTCTCGCTGTGGCCAAGGTGCTTCAAACAGACACCGAACTTTTCCAAATGGAAACACAAAGAGCCACAACAGCCTCCATGTTTTTAAATCAAAGTTAATGTCACATGTGTACAAAGAGAACGGAACCAAAAATGAGGAAACATCATCATCAACTGTTCAGATCCAGATAAACTTCTGAATTTATGAAAGGTATTTCTTGCTTCTTGATCCTTTTGACTAAATACACAAAACATATATACTTTACTATTTAATTAAAAAAAATAAAATAAAATGTTGTCATGCTAAAAAAAATGAAGGTGGTCTATGGTGAGCAGAGTCGAGGTTATACCTGGTAAACATGAGCATGTTAGCATGCTGCTGCTAGCAACAACAGAGCATATTCAGTGTGTGGTATCGATAACTGTTCATCCAGGATTAGATTAAATCAAAAGCAGTTACTATGTGTAACCCTCAAGTTATAATGACCAAGTAGTAGTTGTTATACAGGAATACTTGTTGTATTTATCTTTGTCGTACCAACATGGTTTCTTTAATCTATCATGCATAAGGCATGTTTATGTCTTATTTTCTGATCTAGAGGGGATGTATTGACTGAAACAGCACTTGCCTCTGAAAGCCTCTGTCTGTTCATCCCTGTAAAGATCAGAAGAGGGACGAATATTTTAAGTAACTGAGCTACAAACATTCTCCAGATATCTCTGAAACAGCAAATTCATCCTTGGCCTGCACGTCTCCTCAGGCTGATTGAGGACATCTCTGATGCTGTTAGCCGCGATTCACTGTGAAATATTTTCAAAGGGGAATATTAAAATAGATCCTAAGTCTATTTAAAAAATACTGACCTCACACAATTGTGCTTCCATTAGTCTTGCCACAGAAATGGGTTTTAAAGTTCCTTTAAAAAATAAATTAAAGCATCTGTGAAAAGTTGTTGAAGATGTTTAAAAATGTCTACAAAAACTCAGGTATAAACATCTTTTTAGGGCAATAACTCACTTGAATGTTAAATGTGCTCATATATGGGATCATTTTTTAAATCCCTCATAAGGGCAGCAGGGGGCAGAGAAAGTTTAACAGCAGGTTCATGAAGCTAGTTCATGATGCCAGCAGGTCACATGAGAAGAACTGAGCCTCATCCTGCTGGAAGCTGGTGTATGTAGACACTGATAACACTACCACAGATGCTAATTCTAAGCTTGTTTTAAAGTTGAAGTCACACTGACCAACTAGTTTAATCAGCAGGATGATATTTGACTTTGATCAAAATGAGATAAAACTCTTAATTATAAAAAGGAGCTGTTTTATAATTACTTTATTCTGGATTTAAGCTTTAAAACTGAAAGAGTTGCCTTTTTTCTTCCTTTTTCCTTTTAGTGTATTTGATTGCAGCTCAATCACTGATCCTTGTAAAAAGTTACACTCTTCTGTACCCTGTATGTGTTAACTTGAATATATCCAAAATGTATATTAATTATGTTGATATTTAGCTTTTTGTCCACATAAAAAAAAAGTATTGCGTCAAAAATGGCAACTTTGAAAATCCTGCTCAACCCACATTAATGCGTCGTCACCTTTTACAATCAAATCTGAACGAACCCATCCCGACAGACACCGCCCCCCCTCCCCCACGGGGAAACAGGTCCTAAAAACCTGTAAACTCATTCCAAGAATGCCACCTGTTTGTGTGATTAATGTGCAACTGTTTGCGTGACGTTTATTGTGTGGACAGTTGAGGTGACACGCTGACAGCTGCGCGCAGATTTGACCTCAGAGAAACAGAAATTTGTGTGGGTGTAGTCCCACTTTGTTAGAGGGAGTATCTGCTGCTGATTATGTCCCTGTTGGCACTGCTTAGTCACAGTGCATACATTATTCCACTCTGTCTTTTCAGGAGAGCTAAAGGCCTGAAATAAAGTTTCCTGGGTCACTGTGCACATTTCTGCCCCTTTTGTCCTCCAGATACGTTCCAGAGATGTTGGGGCTTTAAAGCTAAAAGAACATTGAGTTTCTTTTATGCATTAACTTCTTAAGTCTCAATATTGTACCCCAGTTTCCCCCTTTATGTTACTCCGATGTACATGCACCTGCAGCAACAGGTGGTCACAGAGGGAGGCACTTTGGAGCGTGTGAACTCAACAGATAAAACAGTCTGCTGTCTTTTCACCCGCTCTTGCTCTGTTCAATGGCCTCCAAGTATCCGGACAACCTTGCCTGGTATTTTGGCAGAAGTCCCTTGAGTGTTGATGTCAGCTGAGAGAGGGGAGAAAAGGAGGGAGGGAGGGAGGAAGAGAGGGAGGAGGGGATGAAGGCCTGAGAGAGAGAGAGGAGGGGGAGGAGTGAGCGGGCTATTCAAGGCACTTGTCCTCTGTCTCCCTCTGAGCACAGAGGAGGGGGAGGCGCACATGCATTGAGGGAAGCACACTTGCACACATAGTAGTAGCAGCCGCATTTTCACAGGCTGCTCTTCAGACTGACAGCAGCAAACGGAGTTGAGAGGCAGCGCAATAGAGCGAGGGAAACAAGGCAGGCATCCAGAGAGGAGAGCAAAGCAGAGGAGGCTCACGCAGGGTTTCCCCTTACTGCCCTTTGGCTCTCTGGGACCCACAAAAGGAATCTCCTCTGTGCTCTTCTTGAGCTGAACTTGCTTTGCCAGAAGACCTGCACCCCACTATGGCAGCCCTGGTGGGACATGGGAACCCTTGTCCCCTCTCATCTGATTCCTCTAAACTGTGGACTACCTTTATTTTGGGTGTGTTGACCCTTTCGACTCAAGTCTGGGGCTTTAACTTGGATACTACTCACACACTGCATAAGTTGGGAGACCCTGGCACCTTCTTTGGCTTCTCTCTTGCGCTTCACCAGCAGCGTAATCCAGACCCTCAGAGCTGGTGAGTGTGAATGCGGCACTGAGCTCGTCCTGTGTGTCCTGTGTGTTTCTGACTCAGGTCAAATATGTGATGTCTTGTGTGCGCACCTGCTTCTCATACAAAAGCTCATCGCGAGTTCATTCTTAGGGATCTAAAATGCTAATGCCAACACAGCCAGCATTTCTGCACTGCATCAATTTGTCAAATCACTGCTTTGCTGCAGTAGTTGCTTATGTGCAGCGTCTGCACTGAGAGGAGAGTGGATGAGAGCAAGCTTCCTGAATCAGAAGTGAGGATCTGATTTCTCTAAAAGGTAGAAGAGTGTTTTTAAGTCATTCTCTTGGAGGAACTCATGTCCCATGAAGTATAGAGTGAGGAGTCTTCAGTCTGTCTGGTTGTGCCTGTGAACCCAAAGTTAAGCTGTTCATGTGTGTTTGCTCTCTGATCTGCTGTTTGCCGGCAGCTGTTTTGATGAGTCTTCCAGTGTGACCGGAACACTCACGAGTCCTGTTCCAATCCTCCAGCAAGTCATGAATAAATGATAACAACAAGCCTGCGTGCAAATCTTTGGACATGTTTACGACAGGACCGCGAATAAGAGGCTGCCCAAGTTTAGCTGTCTGGATGCTTTGTGGTTGATATTGACGAGATCTGTTCCATCTGATTTTGTGGTGTATTTTCTTTTAGTCATGAATTTGGTGCTGCTTTTTGTCAAACAGTCTCTGCTTAGATTAATACAGTGCACACTATCTGGTGAGATTCAGAAGATTAAGTAAAGTTGCAGAATTGCAAGAAAAATCTTGCATATAAAATAATGACATATCACAGCACTCTGTATTTTATAAGATCCTAACAGAGAAGAATACACATGTATTCCAAATCTTAACCAACAGTTGAACTATAGCTGTAAAATAAATATAGCAGCGTTTGAGGTAATATCTTCCTCTGAAATTTACTGATTTATAAATGTAATGTTTGCTCCAAACCCCAAAATAGCAAATGCAATGTTCATGTCACATGTCTGGTATAAAGGAAAATTAATGTTTAAGGATGAGGGAATTAACTTACTACAAGCTCCTGTTTTGGAGCTCCATATTTAACTGCGGGCTGCTTAGTTTACCCGGGCTGGAGTCACCCTGTCGCCTGGTAAGACCAGGGGAATGACATCAGACACAGTCATGTCATCCCTCTGAAAACCAGCGTGCTGTCCAGCAGCATTCCTGGGACTTATTTTAAAAAGCAACTACCAGAATACACATTGTATCACTGACTGCTGTGTCCTGAGTAAACAAGGGATAAGACTCCAGCAAAACTGTCCATCAGGGATGTTAGAGCCAGGAGACAGTCAATAAAACTCTGACCTGATGTGCTGATGTGATGATGCATCTACTGGAAGAGAGTGGCATGAATGATGTTGCTGCCGGTACGCTGGGAAAGTACTTTGTGTTTGGATGACTTTATGGTGATTTCATCCTCAGTCGGTCTGTGCAGATGACTTTGCAGGGTGTAGCCAGCCAGGGTTTTAGAAATATTGAATAATGGGGCCCAAAACAATTTGACTATACACAAAGAAATGTATTGTATTACAAATTTTGTCAACGTTCAGCTTTGTTACTCTACATTTTTTGAACACCATGAACACCAATGTCCTTTAAAAGTGTTTAGCTTAAGAAATGAAATCATGAGGCCAAAAGGTAAAGCAGCATTTTATGCCCACTTTTGTGGAGGAGAAGCAGTCTGAGAACATTCTGCCATTTCAGCAAGTTGACAAAACGATTTTAGAAAATATTATTTTTAATAATGGCCACACTGACAAATGCAACGCTTTTAACTCTGTTTTTAGTCTTTACTGTCTCCTGAAGAAAATACACGACTCTTTAGCCGCTCTCAGTCCACCAGCTACAGCTGTGTCTGTTAACCTGAACTCTTTCATGGCGTTTTTAATTTCTCTTTGCTATTTGGGCTGATTGGGACCTGATGAATATAAAAACAAAGAAATACCAGATTTTTGTTTTTGACAAAAATGAGATCCACATTCGTTTTTAATTTTGCTAGAACAGTGGCAGTATAATGTCTTCGTAAGTGGATATCCTTGTAGAGCAGAATTTAGTATTTTGGTCTAGACAACCCAAAATGTGATGTCCACATATGTGGACGGCAGGTCCTAGGAGGTTAAACAACTTGTTCATGAACTTATTCCCACAAGCACTTTTTAAGCTGCCTATCTAACATTCACACATGCATTCACACTCCGATGGATGCATTGGAGAGCAACATGGGGTTAGTATCTTGGATATTTGGATATGCAGACTGGAGCAGACTGGGATCAAACCACCAACCTTCCAGTTAGTAGGTGAGCTACCACCTGAGCAACAGCCAGTAGTGATGTGATGTCCACATATGCGGACGCCAGATTAAAAATGCACAGAAACTCACTGCACTTAAAAACGATGGGTATGGGCTGCAGAAACAAATGCTCAGGAGTCAAAATCAGATATTTTGGTAATACAATAACATTTTATTTTCTTTGTAGTCGTTTGAATTTAACATGTAATAAAATGTGACATTAATGTGTTAACAATCCCACATTAATAATGTATTCCACGTTGTTTTTAACCTTAATTATTGTGTGATAATTAACTGTTATGACATGGTTATTGCCTCTGTCTTTAAACCACATTATAACCCCACTATTACCATATTACTTTAGAGCTGTAATATAAAGTAGTACCAATACTTTTTATCCTTCTCAGAGTGTGTTCTGGGATCACCAACACAAAATCATTCTGTGCCATTTCGCATGCTTTTAAGTCATGTTTTAGTTAGATTTGAGGTAAAATCATAAATTGCATTAAAATAAAAATGCTATTAGGGGCTATGAGACTTTTGGAATTATGTTTATTAAAATAAAAATGGCTTTCAGCGGGAAATGGAAGCCATCTAGTGTGTTACACTCTGGACAATCCTGACATGTTGTTTTTAGGAACATAATGAAAAAATAATTCTTCTTGGTGGGAAATTCTAAATATTAGAGGTTTTATTGCCCCTTCAGAGATGTATTATTCAGAAGCAGCACAATAGTTATGCTTCCTGTCTGAATAATACATTTCCATTAAGCCTTATTCCTTCTGTGTTATTATTACATTTCCTATTTGGTAGTTTAGTCTCCAGCCCTCGTGAAGCTGTCTGCCTGAAACTTATTGTAATCAGATGCTACTGACTCACTTTCTTTTTCTATGATGAGGGTTTGGGTTACTGTCACCTGTGGCCATAATGTTTTACAGTCATTGTGTGTTATGTCACTCTATTCGACTGAGAAAATGATATTTTTCTTTGATGCTCTGTGCTGTGCTTACTCATGATTAAATCATACTATAAAGTAATGCGAGTGCTAATACAGGTCAGCGTAGTCATACTGTCGCCCCTGAAAGAGTTTCACCGCCAGCGGCTTTGGAGTTTCACAGTTTATCGGAAGCTCAGCAAAGATCAGAAAAGGAAATACTGTTTGGAGTTGATACCGAGTACACAATGACTGCCTTTTTGTTCAGTTTTGCAGCATCAAACCTTGCAGCTTATTTTCAGTATGGCAGTAAAGGTCAACCCATGTGACACAATATTATCATACTGACTCACATACTGTGAGGACAAGCAGGTCGTTGACACGGCTGAAGTAAAACTAGGCCACAGTTTAGAGCCTTTTGTAAAGCTTTGTTTTTCTTCCTGAGCACAGGCCAAAGCTTAAACGAGAGAATTTCATCTTTTGCTGCTAACGCCAAACAGAGGATGAGACGTGATGGGTATTTGAGTCTGAGTTATGTGTACATCTGCTATTTTTAATGCTAAGAGAAGTGCTTCTGCTATTAGTGTACTGCCTGGTGAAGACGGGAATCTCCCTGGGCTTGAGCCCCCCACTGCCTGTTTACCTAAATTTAAATAATAAACATCTTTACGCTGTGGTAAGTCTGCCCAAAATAATTAAGAAAACGTTATTCCTATAAGACAATATGCTCTAATATTGTCATAATTCATTAATAATGTACAGATTTCTCAGTTTCAGAGTGCTTAACACATGTCCAGGCACAGCAGTCCGTCTTTGCTAATCCTATATAGCTTGCTTTTTTCACTGAAATATCTGTAACATCACTTGTGCATTATCAAATTCTATATCAAAGTCCAAATCTATATAATAAATCAATATACAGTGTGTGCTGCAAAGCCACACATCATTGACAATACTGTTAGACTGTGATTTATCCTACAGTTGATTTACAATTGACTGTGTTGCAACGCATTCATAGGAAAAGTGATAAAGTCTCAGGTTGCAGTAGGGGTCATGTTTACATGTGGTACTGCTTCTGATAGTAGGCACAGTCTGTCTCAGTGCCTGGGGGGGGCCACAGGTAGCTGACATAGTCACAGACATGTGTCTGGAGTTTGGTTTCATTGGCTGAATATGAATCCAAAGCAATGCTTTTTGAGGCCGAACAAATCCTCCTCTTGAACCGAAGGCGTGATTAACACCCTAAGGAAGACTGGGACATAGGGGTGATCACATGCTGAATTCCAAAGGCATACAGAGTTTGCAAAAGAAGAAGGGTTTGACATTTTGGGAAACATCCCCATGTACTTTGTTGTTCTGCTTTGGAGAAGAGAAAACATCATAATTTCTAAAAACACCATAAAACCTACATAGGGATTATAATTCTCATTCTGATTTCAGATCTATACAGTAAATGTACCGAGCAACAGATTAGACCAACAAACACTAAAAACTGGGGGAAACAGGTAGTCTGTGTCTGACCTAATAGATAGTCACAGTATTGTGACGGCACTAGAAGACAGGATCATATCACTCCTATTCTAGCTAACCTGCATTGGCTTCCTGTCAAATACCGTATTGTTTTTAAAATCCTTCTATACACTTTTAAAATTTTAAATAACTTGGCACCTAGCTATCTGATTGACCTTCTTAATTTATATATCCCCACAAGGGCACTCAGATCCTCTAATCAGGGGCTCCT